TAATTAGGGTTAATATGAAGGTTTAGCTAAAATTAAAAACTATTCATATTTTAATAAGTTACATATGACATAACTGATACAGGTATTATCAAATCGATTAAAATACTATAGATATATTCAGATATAACTAACCTGTAAGGTTAATTATTAATTATTTACTTGATATTTAAATAATTATTAATTATTTACTTAATAATTAAATGATTATTAATTATTTATTTAATAATTAAATAATTATGATTGTTTCTCGGTAATATTTTAAAATTATATTACAGAAACAGCTGTCTTTGTTTTTTAATTATTTTTTACATAAAAACAAAAGGGAAAAAATTGAAAAATTAAATTTATTTTTATTACTATCAATTTTCTTCATTTTTTATTTTATTAAACACTTGAAATTAAAATTAAATTTTGCATAAAACTTCAAAATAATAAGAATCATTTGTATCTTGTATCTTGAACACTTATATATATTTACATTTATCTTAAACACTTTGTCTACTAACCAAGTACGTCAAAATATTTATTTAAATTCTTAAAGAAGTATTTATTTTAACTTTAAATTTCAAATTGATCCAACTTTTCAGCTAATGTTTGAGCGGAATACCAGAAAAGATTATCAAATCTGTTGCCTCGGTAATTTCTTAACTTGGTAATGTTGTAATGCTAGAAAAAGAAATATACTTAAAACGTTATCAATTTAGCGATTTACCGAACACTTCTAAATATGTATAAACTTACAAGTTATTAAATCCCATATTACTTTTTTTTTGTTTGAAGTTTGTTTGGTTTTTATATTATAAACTTAGATTTTAAAGGTGTTATTGTTATCATTCACACCTATACTGGATTCACATGAGACTTTTGTTCGTAATTTTAGTTGTCAAAAATGTTTAAAACACATCTGAAATCAAAAAACAATAATACACCTTTTTTTTTGTAAGCATATCACAAAAGAACAACCGCTTATTTTAAAAATAATATATGAAATAACAATACTGCTGGCTCAATTATTCCAACCTTTTTGAAATCGTTTAACTAATAAGCAGCTCAAATAGCATGGTTGCCAAGACTAAAAATTCTATTCTTTTTCTATTTATTATTACTTGTAAAAGGCATGAAAATTCATATTTTATTTACAATCATGTAAAAAAAATATTCTTACTAATAATTGCAAAGAACTATTATTCATTTTCGAAATTTTAACTTTAAATTTTATTACATGTTTTGCATATGTAAGCCTAACATAATTCTATTTTGTCTAGAGTTACCTCCGAAAGTAGTGCTTATTTTATTTGTTCTTTTGCGACTTTTTAACTATCCCAAAATATTTACTTTGCACATATGATATATACTTTACACATATGATTAATAACAGTTTTGTTTCATTTCGCATGAAAACTATTCATTCTTTCTTCAAAACTATTCACAATAACACAAGTTTGTACTGGACAATACTGTACTACAGGGAATTGTCAAATCAACTTGATTTTGTGAAAATGTAAAAACTGTCATGGTTCTCATAAAAGTCTTCTTGATTTGAACTTGTTTTGCTGTCGAAATCAGGAATAATTTAAAATAACAGCTAAAATTAAAAACAAAACTATTGTGAGAATCCAGTATTACACCCTGAGACACAACTATTGCCCATTGTGATGCCCTTAAATTTGTTAAAGGAGGCCGCCAGTACTAAAAATTCTTTCCTATGTGGCTTCACGTGCTATCCTTGTTATCCCATTTCATTTTTCCGAAATAAAGGAAATCCGATAAGTCTATTTTCGTTAACTCTCTATCAGGTCAGCAAAGGAACGGTCTCCTAAACTGGAGCCGATTCGTGAATTTTTTTGGGTAAAGATATTAAAAGATATTGGTAGATTCTGATTTTTTATTATCGTAACAACTCCTACATATGCACCTTGTTGGAATGTCCCAATGTTGAAACATTGGTGCAATATTAGACTGTTTCGTAAATACTCCAGAAAGCACATTAACTTATCTAGGAATATATTATAGTAGAATGATAATATTTAAAATTTAAGATTCAGTTTATGAAATTTGATCGGAATTTTTATGCGAAATAGTTACTATTCCAATATTATTACTACTTTTATATGTTACATGAGATTTATAAATGGGATAAAATAATATGTAGTCATTTCTAAATGTATAGTTTTTTCCTTAGCAAGTATAATAATATCTATGTGTTTTGAAATAAGATTATTATAATTTTATCCTTATATCAACTAATATTAAGGTTTTATTTTTAATTTTGTATATATTTTATTAACTCTCTGTACCGCTTGCCCACTTGACTGCCTTTAAATTAATCAATATTGCGTTTTATTTTTACACTGAAAATGTGAATGCAAAAGTTTTCTTCAAAAATTTTTAAGGCCAAAGCTACTTTTTCTTCGTTAGTTTATATTTTGTCTTAATTTTCTTTTAATCTTTCTTTCTTTTTATATAATTTTATTTTCTTTATATATTTATTCCATTTTAATATTTTTCTTTTAACATATTTTTTTGGTGCTGTTAACTAGCACTTTGACTTTCTTATTGTTTTTCTTTTTCTTTATATATTTTTTTATTTTATTTATTTTTCTTTATATATTTTTTTTTTATTTATTTTTTTTTATATATTTTTTTATTTTTTTTATTTATTTTTTTTTATTTTATTTATTTTTTTTATTTTATTTATTTTTCTTTATTTTATTTATTTTTTTTTATTTTATTTATTTTTTTTTATTTTATTTATTTTTTTTTATTTTATTTTTTTTTTTTATTTTATTTATTTTTTTTATTTTATTTATTTATATTTTTTTTATTTTATTTTATTTATTTTTTTTTTTATTTTATTTATTTATTTATTTTTTTTATTTTATAATTTTTTTTTTATTTTATTTATTTTTTATTTTTTTATTTTATTTTATTTATTTTTTATTTTTTTATTTTATTTTATTTATTTTCGTTTTTTATTTCTTAATATTTTTTATTTATTTATTTTGTTTTATTTATTTTTTTTTTTTATTTATTTTTTTGTTTTATTTATTTTTTTTTTTTATTTATTTATTTTATTTTATTTATTTTTCTTTATATATATTTTTATTGTATTCATTTTTCTTTTTTTTTTATTTTACTTTTTTTTTATTTTACTTTTTTTCTTTTTACTTTTTTTTTTTCTTTTTTTCTTTTTATTTTTTCTTTTTTTCTTTTTATTTTTGTTTGTCTTTTTATTTTTTTAATTTTTTTTCTTTTTAATCTTTTTTACTTTTTAATATTTTTCTTGTCAATATATTTTTTTGGTGCGGTTAGCTACCAATTTGACATTGATCAATTGTTGAGTTTTTATTCAATTCTAAAAAAGTTTTGTAAGAAACATCGTCTACATTTTTTTTGGTTTTACTTGCTTTTTACTAATTAATTTAATTTTTACTTATTTTAATATATTTAGATGAGTTGAGTTTTTGACTTTAATGTTTGATATGACTGAAGTGAAGGGGTTGACTTTGAAATTGATATGTAAATTATGGAACCCGAACATTTTGAGCTTGTCAAAATGTTTGGAACTCAAATATTAAGTTTAAGGTTTATTTTTGAAGTTATATTAAGTAGAACTTGTGTGAATGGTTGGAAAAATTTCACCAATCATAATTATATTCTAGTAATAAACATTTCACTTCTTCTCTTGAACTGGGAACGATCAAACATAAATGGCGCCCCACGTTGGGCGCAAATTCTAT